TGTGTAAGATGAAAGAAATTCAAATTCTGGTAAACAGTTTAGTTAGAATCCATAAGCTCATATTCTTTTATGGTCTAGAAATTGCATTAAATTCACCAGGTTTTAAAATTCAAATTGGTGATGTGCTTTGGTTCTTTAATAGTATAGTGCTTTTTGTACTAACATTAATTTATTGTTCATTTTTCAGCCCTAGTCACAAGCTGATCAAATTCAATCATGTTTCTACTTATTTTTTAAATTTTATGTACACTCTGCAAAAAATTCAAGAGGAGGGAAGACTTACAAGCTCTTTTTACTGAGGTCAGCATTATCCTAATTCCATAACCAGATAAAGACACTACAGAGAAAGAAACGTAGAGGCTAATAACCCTGATAAACATATATGCTGAAATCCTCAAGAGAATATTAACAAATTGGATCCAGCAATACATTAAAAAGATCATACACCATGACCAAGTAGGATTTATTATGGGAATGCAAGGTTGGTACAATATTCACAAATCAATAAATGTGATACAACACAAACAAAATGAAAGACAAATATCACTTACCTCATCAACACATATTGAAAAAGCATTTGATAAAATCTAGCACCCATTTATGATAAAAACTCTTAGTAAAGTGGGAATATAGTGATCATACCTCAACACAATAAAGGCCATATATAAAAAACCTATAGCGAACTTCATATTCAATAGGCAAAAACTGAAAGCATTTCCCTCAAGATCAGGAGCAAAACAGCATGTTTGCACTCACCACTCCTAGTACTGTACCACATTTAGTACTGTAAATCCTAGGCACTCTGATCAGACAAGAGGAAGAAATAAAACATCCAAACTGGAAAGTAGGAAGTAAAACTGTCATTATTGCAGATGATACAATATTGTACATAGAAAACCCTAAAGACTCTACTAAAACTATTACATCTAATAAATTAATTTTGCAAAGTAGCAGCATACAAAATTAATACCCAGAAATCAGTGACATTTTTATACATCAATAATGAACTATCACAAAGAGAAACTATGAAAACAATCCCATTTACTATTGCAAGAACAACAAAAAATAAGGTACCTAGGAAAAAACTTAACCAAGGAGATAAAAGACCTATACGTGGAAAACCATGCAACATTGAAGAAAGAATAGAGAATGATACAAAAAGTGAAAACATACACCATATTCATAGATTGAAAGAACTAACATCATTAAAATGTCCATACTACCCTAAACAACCTATAGATTCAACAAAATTTCTATTAAAGTACCAATGACATATTTCACACATCTAGAACAAATACTCCAAAACTTTATATGGAATCAAAAAAGTGCCCAAATAGTCTCAGCAATCTTGAGAAAGAACAAAGCTGGAGGTATCACAATACCAGATATCAAACTATACTACAAGTCCATTTTAATCAAAACAGCCTGGTATTGGCACAGGAACAGGCATATAGATTAATGGAACAGAACAGATAGGCCAGAAATCAACCCACATCTCTGTAATCAATTAATATTTGACAAGGGAGGCAAGAATATACAATGGGGTAAAGACAGTCTCTTTAATAAATGGTGTTGGGAAAATTGGATTAGGTACATGCAAAAAATGAAACCAGACCAGCAACTTACACCATTCACAAAAATAAACTCAAAATGAATAAAAGACTTAAATGTAAGTTGAGAAACCATAAAAATTCTAGAAGAAAACAGGCAATAAAATCTCAGACATCTTGCATGGCAATATTTTTACTGATATATCTCCTAGGGCAAGGGAAACAAGAAAAAAATAAACAAATGAGACTTCATCAAACTAAAGAGCTTCTTCTACACAGCAAAAGAAACCATCAACAAAATAAAAGAGAATGCATTTGCCAGTGACATTCTGAAAAGGGTTAATTTCCAAAATATATAAAGAACTTATACAACTCAACACTAGGAAGGCAAACAATCCAATTTAAAAATGGGCAAAGGACCTAAATAGACACTTCTCTAAAGAAGACATACAGATGGTCAATAGACATATGAAAAAAAAATGCTCAACCTCACTAATCATCAGAGAGATGCAGATTAAAACTACAATGAGATATCACCTCACACTTGTCAGAATGGCTAACATCAATAAATCAACAAACAAGTCCTGGTGAAGATGCAGAGAAAGGGGAACTCTGGTACATTGCTGGTGGAAATGCAGACTGGTGTTGTCACTGTGGAAAACAGCACGGAGTTTCCTTAATAAATTAAAAATGGAACCACCTTTTGACCCAGAGATCTCACTTCTGAGAATATATCCTAAGTATGCCAAAACACTAACCACAAAGAATATACGTTATTATACATTCATAGCAACATTATTTACAATAGCAAAGATCTAGAAACAGCCCAAGTGTCCATGAGTAGATGAGTGAATAAAAAAAAATCTGTGGTACATTTACACAATGGAATACTATGCAGCTGTAAAAAAGGAACTCTTAGCCTTTTCAACAGCATAGATGTACCTAGAGATTGTTATGCTAAGTAAAATGAGCCAGTCAGAGAAAGAAAAATAGCATATGATCTCACTTATGTGTGGAATCTAATGAATAAAATAAACTGATGAATAAAATAGAATCAGAGGCATGGATATATGGAACAGTCTTACAGAGCTTAGAAGGGAGGTGGGAGGGGGCACTTAGAAAAGAAGGTGAACAGAGTATCCAGAGAACATATATACAAAGCCTATGGACATAGACAAAAGAATGGTGAAGGCCAAGTGGAGGGGCAGCAGGGGCTGGGTAGAGATAGACAAATAGGGGGGCGGTAAATGTGGGATGTCTGTGATAGTGTCAAAAATAAATAAAAAAGAAAAACAAATGTTATGTGCAGATACTACAGTATACAGACGATGTATTATTGAATTGTATACCTGAAACCTACGTAATTTTATTCAATGTCACCCCAATAAATTCAATAAAAAATAAATTACGAAAACAGTTACTAAAAAATGTTATGTGCAGATTAACAAATGAGATTGATTTTGTCTGGGCATTCTTTCTGTAGACTACAGTGTTCTTTAAAACAAATGTCACTCACCACTTTGTAAAGTATATGATTTTCTGGTTACTGTGCTGTGAACCTAAGATTAATGCAGAATGGTATTGAATGTGAACCATGTTTTTTATAAATGCCACTCATTTGTCCTTAAAATTTGATAAACATGTATAAAACTGTTGCCCATTTATGAACTTTAAGACTTAAATAAATGTATTTATTGAAAGTCACTGGAAATCAAGGTATTTAGTTTTACACATAAAATGATTATGTTATAATGTTACAATAAACTTTGCATGCTTCTATTCTAAGAGATGACTAATCATATCATGTGGTGCATGTTATTTGCTATTTGTTACTCTTATAAGGACAATATGGACACAAGTTAACATTTGTTGTCTTAGCTTGAAAAAAAATTATTTGGCATTTTTGTATAATTTTTTACAACTTTTTGGTCAGATTTGTACCAGATATTTTCTGTTTCACCACTTTAAAAAAGAGTGTTTTAGCCCAGCCATTGTGGTTCAGTGGTTGCGCATTGACCCATGCACCAAGAGATCCAGTTCGATTCCCAGTCAGGGCACATGCCTAGGTTGTGGGTCCATTCCCCTGAGGGGGGTGTGCAAGAAGTGGCCAATTGATGTTCTCTCTCATCAATATTTCTATCCTTCTATCCTTCTCCCTTCTTCTCTCTCTAGAAATCAATCAATAAAAAAAAAAAAACACATTATGTATAAAAAGAGGGTTTTAAACCACTATACCTTTCTTTGAAAACTTCTGACATGTTTTCTTAAAGTAATAGTACATATTAAGGAGACAGAAATGAAGGAGTCGGGGAGGCAGGGAGGGAAAGAGAGAAAAAGGTAGTGAGATTAATGCAACACATTATTTACACTTTTTAAACTGATTGTTATGCTTTTTACATGTTAATACTCTAGTGCTCATTTAATGTGCTAATTACTATAAATCACTATCCCAGTAAATAAGAGTTAGACTTTTCAAAAAATTAAACTAGTTAAAAGCATCTAATATCTGCAAGATATGGCCATCAAGACCAAACTGGGAATGCATCATTCTCTATTGATGACATTAAATTGTTTTCTAATTACATAAATTATTAGCTACTATTTGGGATCTTGCTTCACAGAAGTGGAAGTAAATTTTCTTCCTTCCTTCTGATTCTGTCATAACAAAGCTCCTTTAGTAGAGACAGAGTAGGTGATCACACTCTATTACAAACTGCATTTTTTTTTTTACATGAGCATTAAATATATTGTGTGTAAATATATCACTTATTAGGCAAAAACATATGACACGTATTAATTGTCTTCTGCAGTTGTTCAAGAAAATTAAGACCCATATAAGGAAGGCTGAAAAGGAAAAATATTATTAGAGATTCTTTTCTACTAAGAAATGTAAAAACAACACCTTCAAGTGTATGTGTTCAATTTTTTAACAAATCACTTGTTTTCTTTTGAAGGTCAACATTTTTTAAACTATTAAGTTATAAATTATAACTGACACAATGTTTACACTTATTCGTACTTCTCTATTTATTGGACTGGCTTCTGTATGAAATTCTAAATTTCTTACAAGCAGAAACTTTCTACATAACATTGTTTTCAGCAGTCAAGTACCTGGCATATTGCATTTTCTTAGAATAAAAATATAGTTCTAAATAATATCCAAAAGTTATTTGGCCTGTGTTTTCTGAGTGCTTTAAATCCCATTTTTGTTTTATATGAAATTTGAACATACTACATAAGAAATAAAGGATTTAAAGATTAATAACAAGCAAAGGCAGCAGCTACAGATTGAAAAAAAAAGAGGTATTTTCACTGTTCCTTTAATCTTAAATCTCAATAGATAAAACTAAGTTTATGAGAAGTTTGTTGGTATCATACAGATTGCAATGTTTAAATTGTGTCATGGTATAATACAGGATGTATATTATATATAAATCTAGAATTATATACCTTTGTTGTTATCCATTCCTCCTACAGCATACAGAGTTCCAACTGTAGATTTTCTAGGTTTAGTTCTTGGACTTTGCATTAAAGTTCTTCTTTCTGGCAACAGATGATATTTCATCGCTTCCAGAATCAACTTTTGACATTCCAGATCATTCTTAAATAATGCATGATTTTCTAGGTCAGCCAATATCTGTAAATAACACAGATACTCTTAATGATGTTTTGTAGAAATGCACATATGACATCAACAGTTAAAATTAGAAGCTTAATGTCTGTGATGTTACCCCTTTATTGAGAGGTATACAGAATGTAATAAGAATGAATTACATTGACAAATAAATATAAGTAAAATGCATGCCTTCTAAGAGAAACACAATGGATATTGTTTCCCATTCAATATTATTTACTATCACTTTACTACATAGAGTATGAAGCATTTTCTAGAGATCTGTTTTACCATTTTTTCTCTTACAAAAGCTATTTATAAATCAAATATAGTTGCCCATGTTGGCCATAAACATGTCTATTGAAGGTAATTAAAAGGTAACCTTTAACAAATTAGTTTATAACAGTTCTATCATAAATACTGGGTGGGGCAAAAGTACATTTACAGTTGTTAATTTAAAAAATAATACAATAACTAATAAATAATAATACAAGAATATACTCTATTTTACCTACTTACAACTATAAGACTAATTTTGCCCCACCCTGTTCCAGGAACAGTGTAAATACTTGGCAGATTTGTCAAAAACATAAAAAGAAGGCAATGAAATAGTTTCCAACAAAAACTAAGAATTTATTTTTGAAACTCCAGCGCCTGAGAGAATAGAGTAATAGCATCAGTTTTAAGCTACATTATGTCTCCCTTGGCTGCACCTGGTTTTCACCCCCACAAGCTATTCTGTGTACATTTCTTTGAACACAACTATAATATGCCTTTTCTTCTTTTTCTGTTGCCCTTTGCATCTCTTTTTTCTTGATTCTTCCAATATCACATTCTCTTCCTTAACAAATCAATGTGTCATTTTGAGTGACAGTTAAATAGATTTAGAAAATTAATAAGTAATTAATAAATAACTTACCATTTGCTCTTTGACCTTTTCCCCCTACTGGTAAGAAATTGTACCATATCTGAACAGTAATGTTTATTGAGTAAATTAATATATGATGGCACCATAAAATTAAAGAATTACTTTTAATGTTATAAATGTAATGTTAAGTGAGTTAATTTATTTAGCCACTTTACATAAATCACTGTTGGAGGTGCCAGAAATAATATATATATATTTTAAAAAAACATATAAGATGTGGGAAAGATAGAACAACTCTGAGACTGAAGAGGAGTACACTATTAGAGTATACTATTAGGAGTATACTATTAGTTACCAGATACTCTGGAATATAAAAGAGAAGATATCTGACAAGTCCAGGCTATGCTTCTTTTCTTGTATATTAATCCTGAGTTGCCTTCTTACCAAATTATATTCTGAATACTAAATAAGGAAAAAAGAAAAATGTGAAGGGATTAAGCAATTAAAAAGCAAAACAGAAGTCATAGATACAGACAACGGTATGTTGATCACCAGAGAGAAAGGGGATTTGGTAGAGGTAGAAGGGGTCAAGGGGGATACATGGTGATGGAAGGAGACTTGACTTGGAGTGGTGAACACACAATACAAAATAAAATGATATATTATAGAATTGTATGCCTCAAGCTTATATGATTTTATTAACCAATGTTATCCAATATACTTAATAAAAAATTGTTTTAACTTTCTGAAAAGAAGACAAAAAAAGAAGTATTGAATAAGATAAGGGATCTCAACTGAAAAAATATCTAAATGATCACTATTAACATTTTTATTTTTAACCACCAAAGAGAAAATCTATTTCTAACATGGACCTGTAGTCTTTATAAACTTAAAAAAAAAAGAAAAGAAAAAAATCCTGAGAAAGAGAGAGAGAGAGAGATTTTAATATAACTCTTGGGCATTTACATGTCAAGATACATTTTCCCCCCTATATGTAAGCCGTTTTCCTTCCTTAAAATAAATATAATGAGCCTTTACTGTGATAAATTTACATATGTCTGAAGTTGGCTCACATCAGTTCTTTTTTTTTTTCTCTATTTTCCACCCTTTATGGGAACATTTGGGATTAGTTGATCATAAGAAACAAACAAACCAAACTGTTCTTTTATTAGGAGTACATTTTAGAAATATCATATCCAGATAAATGGTTAATAAATTCTAAATAAAAGAAAAATGAGAAAAAATTCCAAAGATATGTTTCCTTTCTTTGTTTTTCCTTGGAAAAGTATAACTCAGAATCAAAAGGTTTTAGATAAGCAGATTCATGACATAGTTGTAAATATCTTTGAATTTGGTATGTGAATACAGAGGGTCATTTACATTGATAAGATTTCATGTATTATTTTTTATATTTAGATAATTCCTTAACTAATAAGAATTATTAATTTTAGCCAAAAATGAACTGTACACTTTCTTGATTTTATTGCCACACAAAAATAATTTTAGTGCAGTGTTTTAATAGATATAAGATGGATTTCTTTTCTAATATTTTAAACTTTAGAAAATTTGTATATCAGTTGTATGGATTCAGAAGGCAACAATTAATTTAGTAAATAGTTTACAAATACCAAAATATAAAATCAATTAAATGAAAGTTTAATAAATTGTATCTTCTTTAATGGTTTAATCTTGTGACTTCTTGTAGTGCTACAAAATATTTACTTACTGTTTGGCTTACATTATAATTTTTATTTCCTTGGAGAACTTTAAGACAATAGACTAATATTAAATTTATTAATTAAGGATAATTCTTGAATGATTTTTCTATTTATAAGTAAGAAAAAGTTACTAACATTGGTCATTAAAATACTTCTAAATTGCTCTAGTTTCTTTATATATAATACATATATTATATATACTCATATATATTATATATCTATTATATATATAATGTAATAGATAAACAGAATATGCAACAAAGAAAGTATTGTCTCTTCTAACACTATATCCTTGGGCTATCAAGATTATGAAAATATTCCCACATTCATATGAATGTGACAAAATTTTATATACCCCATATTATTGCATGATATTTCAGTTTTGTTTTGCTACTGGGTGCTGTGCTAAAAGATCAACTTAGAGAATTTGAATCTATGAAACAAATTTGAATCTTATTGGAAGTGACAGTCCTTAGAGAACAAGTGCCAGTTTCATACATATTCTTTCAAGTTTCCTGCTTGGCAAAATGAATAAGATGAATGATAAAATATTATATGCAGTAAGCTGCATGAAAAATGAATTTCTACTTCAATGTCTTATAAATAGGTCTGATACAAGTGAACTATTTTCAGGTATTCTTATTAAGTAGTTTTAAGACATTCCACAGGGAAATAGTGATTAAATGATTACATTCAATTTGGAATAGCTGCTGTAATAGTGTAAGGTGCTGGTGAAATGAGGAAGTTTAGTTATCAAAAAACTTTGTAGCAACACAGTAAATGGTGAGGTCATAGGTAGGGCAGTCCCACTCTGTAATGGAAAACAAACTATCTGATGCTTAGAAAAGATTTTTTGTATGTCTACTCCCTTTCAGATAGATTTTCAAAAACATAGAAAGAGGAAAATGGACAAGGAAAATGAAAATTTGGCAATATGAGTTAGTTGGTTCACCAATGGTCAAAGCATTTCCTCAGCTATTGTATGAGTTTCTGCCATGAATTGAACAGTATGAGCTTACACAAAGAAAAACAGCTCAACTGTAGCCAAACTACTGGTATGCAGCTTGAAAGAAACTTATCAATATGAGTACATAGATCCTCATATTAACTTAAGTTCCCATTAAGATTAATTGAAAATAGTTTTGGCAAAGAATAGAATCATAAAATTAAGACACTGAAATATTTTCTTGTATCTTTACTGGTATAACTACTATTTTTTGCTAAATTATTTGAGGGTATTATTTCTATTTTTAAATAAATGAGAAAAGTAGATATAATAGAGCTTTTCAAAATTACCGACAAGCTAAAGCTTACATCAGGTATAGCTAAATGATTTATACTCAAGTATTTGTAAAAACAAAAGTAAACCACCTATGAAATAAAGAGCAGGTTCATTAATTTTATTCTGAATACAGAAATATTTGATTGCTTTAAGATTAAAAATAATTGGCTAAGTTGACAGTACGAATAGAAAAGAAGAATGACATAATCAAAACAAGTAGAGTTCATAAAATTAACTCATATAATAGTTCTTATGAGCAACAAATGAAAGGGGTTTTATGATGCTATTATTTATGATTAACTTTTATTTATTTAATATGGGTTTGCAGTCTCACAGATATTTTGAAAGCTCAGAATTTCTAAATCTGAAATAAGTGATCCTCTTCCCTGCTTGAAAAATGTTATTGCATTCTAAGTAGGCTCTGGACTTTCATTCATTCATTCACTCATTCATTCATTCATTCATTTATTCAGTCACATATTTAGCAAATATCTAGTCAGCACCAATTTTGTGCCAGGTGCTGTAAAAGTCCTGGATATCTGTAGTCTCTCTCATCACTAATTTATTCTACTCAAGCACAGCCTCCTTCCCACCCCTTAGAACACTTTCATTCATTTATTTATGTCTAGGCTACATTCAAAACTATACACCATATTCTCTTTGTTGTAAGACATTATTCAACATTCTCAGACCAGCATGCCAACAATTCTATAATACAGTTCCATATTAGCTATTCATTCACTTTCAACAATAGTGCAAATTATTCTGTTTTTCATAATGTAGCCCTTCTGATCTCTTGCCTTTATTAACAAAGGAAAATTTGTAATGCCTTTTCCCTCTGGGGTTACTGTTAAATTATAACCCAAATTTAGAGTCTAGTTTAAGTTATTTTATTTCATTGAGAACTTACCTAGTTTCTCATGCCACAGTTGACACAATTTGTTTTTATTGGTCAAATCTGGCTTTAATCAATTGCCATCTGTGTAGTCATTTAAGGGTTTATTAGTCATGCTAAATCATAAACATATAGGAAATCAGGAGAAATGTCTGTAGACTCTTATTGGGTACCATTAACAGTGTTATAGGCTTCTAGAAATTTCTCCATAATTATTCAAGTGATTGTATTAATAGATAGTATTTATTAAATTATTTTTAA